TTTTGTAACATGTTCATAGTGAAAAAGCAGCCAACCTTTTTTAAGCAATCTGTAAACATTTCCGATGAGCCTACCAATGGTGGCCCAAGAGGGACATCGTCAATCGTCAATATTGACTTCAATATTCATGACCAAATTCACCACTCGTTGGATATCCGGTCCCAAATGTTTCCGGGATTTTTTTCCAGCAAGATAGGCGGAAACGAAGTGTGTTCACGCGTACGCGTAATGACCTACTTTTTGGCCTGATCTCAAGTGTTCATATTATCGCCATCTGCGGTCATGGCTATGAACAGACGGGCAGGCCCAATCTACCTTGCTTGCTGAAAAAAAATCGCGGCAATATTTGCGACTCGGGATACAAGTAAAAAAAGTCTGGAATATTGACGTCAATATTTGCAACCGAAGATCGATTCGTGAATTTGGTTGTAAACATTGGGGTCAATATTGACGATTTCCGATGTCCCTCCGGGCCACCATACCTCCCATTTTCTGCCATTTTCAATATTTTATACTGCTTTCCTTACAGATTTCCTGGAGTGAGCTCCATATACGAATGTCACTTCACACCCTGTTTACAAACCCTATGAGGGTGGTCTGAAAAATTCTGTGTTTCCTAACAAAATGTTTCGATATCTTCACTGCTAAATGGACTACAGCCTAGAAGGAAAAATCCCATTTCTTGAATTAAGGAACAAAGTATTAAATGAAAGCAGTCGATATGCAAAGCTCTTCTATCAAACACAGACTACGTACATTTTATTCATACTGCAACAGCAATGTCCCTACACCTCAGATTTTATCACAAAAGTCATGAAATACCCAAGAGAGTTTTCCTTTAGACTGTACGATTTCGTTACTGACAACCAGATTATATGTCACGCGCAGACAAACAACCAGGAGTAATTATTATAAACAACCTCAATTATGGCACCCTTTAACAGCTCTCTCACAAACTTCCTGGAGAGCCCAAAGGAAGTTTTTGATCCGTGTCGTATTACGGGTTTGGTTCTTGATGCGTCCCAAGACTTCTTTATTACTGATAACGTACGGCTTACTTCATATCACTACATAGTACAAGGGGCAACTATACAGCCATACGGATAAGCTAGTAAACCTGTCCACTGTCAAAACTAGTCTTGGGAATTATTTTTCTATTTGGTAGAGGTTTAGATGCGTGTTCAACCCTTCCTTGTGCAGTACACATTCAAGAAGGTCAGCCGAAAAGTAACAACTTTACCTACAGATATGCCAATAACCGTTACAATGTCAATTACCTACGCCATGATAAACATTCCCATAAAAAATGAAAAAGTCATGTTGCCTTTAAATAATACTTAGGCATAGTCTTTGAAAACGTTTATATTCTGTAAATGGAATATTGTTGCTGTCAGTAATTACAACTATGTAAATAAAATCCTCGAAAATTAAGCACTTTGCCAATAAAGCTTTTATAACCTACATTTCATCTTGCTTTTGCCTCTGCCACAGAGAACAAAACTTTCATTTGAGTTCAAAAGAAAACGAAATGAATTTTGTTTCGAAAGGAGTTGCAAAGGGGAATGGAATAGTATAACTCTCCTCCAAATGGTGACATTGGGCCTGTTTGAACGAAGTATTAATTTGTAATATACATTCAACCGCAAATAAGAATAAGGCGGTTCAACACCAAGGGACAGTTTAGTTATGAGGGGAATATTCCTCCTAACGTGAGTTCCACATCGACTTTTACAAATGTACTTCACCATTTAAATGATGAGACCTTCGCTATCCCACTACTCACACAAAGTAAGCTTTTGAGAACATAAAAATTTTATGTAACTCTCAATGAGAACAATTTGACTTCACATATTATTTTTCAGTTTTTATACTCTCCTCAATTTGATAATCCCCTGCAAGATGTTTGCATTAAAATGAGTCTGATTCTTTTGATGAGACAAGCTAACAACTTCTCCTATCTCCTGTGAGCGCTCACGGTAGGCATAACTCACCAATATTGGAATACATTTACTACTGTTAAATGGATCTATGAAAATAATTCATATATCTTGAGGGAATATAGTTAACAATGCAAAACTAACAAAGGAAATTCGTTTAAATGATAAGCACTTTATGAAGCTCCCATACTTTTGAATCCCTTCTCAGTGAAATTTTGATGTAGTTTGCTTTCCATTTCTGCTATGCAGTAAGCCTACGCAAACCTTTGTGGATCTAATTTTCTTTTAAAATAAGTGATGAAATTAAATGTAATGTTGTTCACACCGCAACATTTCCGACTAATGCTGTTTCCTCCCGAAGAAAGCGGAAGGAAATCGACTCGTTTGTGTTACATTAAACAAAGTCATAAATCTTCACTGAGTAGTAGTCTGCAACTGCCAGTTGCCAATCTGTGGTGAATGTGATTCCCTGGGGACAGTGCAGACCCTCTGCGATGCAGTGGAGAAAGCCACCTTGAGGGTCATAGTGGTGAATATGACCGGTGCTATCACCATTACTCATTGCAACATAGATGCCTGTGCTATCTGCGAATACACCAGTACAGCGTCCAACTACCTCACCATCGATGGTAGGTTTGATGATGAACAGTGTATCACCATTCCCATCAACAACACCAACTAACTGTTTGAAGTCACTGATTACAACTCGATCATTGCTGTCAACAGCCAAAAAAAAAGGTGTAATCTCGACTGGTATGGTGCTCCTCAGTTCCCCGTCAGTGGGGCTGTGTTCGGTCAGCACCATTCTCTTGATGTCACCAACCACAATGGTCCCATCCGTCTTGACTGCTACACTCCGGAGGTTTACTGCGGTCTTACTGATCTCACTCGGTGGCACTGTGGGGAACTGGAAAGCCAGCGTGTTGTCCTTGTCAAAGACTTTCACGTAAGATGCGCTGTGCTCAACAACCACCACGAGATTGCCGGTGCGTGTAGCTGCAATGCCACGTGCCCCTGTTTGGAGTTGAAACACAAAAAGAAAAGCATGAACCAACTAACTACGTTCATGAAGAGTTATAAAGCCAGAGACCTAGGATCAACCCTTGTCCCTTCCTCGACCAATAGATCCCGGGAACCTGGAATTATTTATTATGAATCAATCAACATAAAGTTCCTGGAAGAAGTTCAAAGAAGCGGCTTAACGAGTAGCTACGTCCATGCACAGCAAGTGAACAAGGATTCATGTAGAATGTATATTGAAGCCTCCCCCTCCCTGTCTAGCGGCTCCGTGGAATTTGGAATTTTTCCTTCCCTCACGACAATAAGCCCAGCCGCAGCCCCTTCTCAACCTACGTTGTTGCCAGGCTTGCTTTAAATATTCGTAATATTTACACACTAGAACACTCGGTCGTGTGGTAACGAACTTTAGGAAACGAAAGTAAATTTTCCATCAAAATAAGGAGCAAGAGGGCGCTCTCCTCGATACCGCCCACTACCTGTGCTGCGTAGTATTTAAACATGGACGAATGAACGCTGGCAAATAGATACTTCACAAAAACAGAAATGCGCATTGAGCATTTAAGGGAGGAAATGTTGACCATGAACCATTGTGTAGATGCAACGTGTCCAACATTTGTTGCAGTGAATTCGAAGCGCATATCTGTTTTGTTTTTATGTGAAATATATTTGCCTGAATGTTTAAAACAAATGTTTGATCCGGAATTGAGGTTCACTGGATTTGCTTTTAAGAATCCAGGTATTGTACAATTAAGCTGCCGTCTAGTCTTTTTGGGGAGAAGAAAATTCTCTAAATAAACTTTACCGCAATATCTGGAAAAATGAATATGTCAATCATTTTTTTCTCTTAGAGCCTCCTCCGTCTAGGTACCATGTGACTCTGCCAAAAGCCTTTAGATTTCTTATGTGGCTTGACACCAGTGGCGTATCCAGCGGCAGCAACTTGCCCCCAACCAACGGGTCGTTTAGCCTGTTTGTTTTAGATTACGTCATAGGTGAGTAGGAAGAAAGTAATCGGTGTATTTACAAGTATTTATCAAACATGAACAAACCCTTAGAAAATAACACCACAAAATTGAAGCAAGGGTGTTGGGACTGTGAGTAGGCCTAAGGCTTTCGACATTTTAAAGAGGAAAGGCAGGCTGTGACAATTTTCAGTGTTGTAAGACCTCAGGAGCCAGTATATACTGTGAGTGTTCTTTTTAATTATTTTCTAATATTTAGCCATTATGTTTTGTCTAGTATATGTAAGTGCTATTATTTTATATATCTGTGACAATGGGGAGTTCAAAAGCCAAGTTTAGTGACCATTTTAATAATGAAGTTTCTCCTTTCGGGTAGGCCTATGGAAAATTAGTAATAGGGTCAAATGGTGCACAAATGGTTGCCGTAAGATGTACATGTGTATTAGCAAACATGGGTATGATTATTCAATATTTCAGGGCTCCTTATTACAGAGTCGGAGCTCCCGCTAGTGGACCTCATTGAGTACCGAGAGAAGATCAAGCCAGGTCCTG